TTTTTTTAAAGAACCAATTAGAAAATCATATTGAGAACACAGTAACAAATTCGTGTAATATGGTGTTATGTGTATGTTTATGACTTTAAATCAATCCCATAAAATAGGTTGATCGCATTCATATAGGATTATTTTTATTGACAAAACAAGGACGCATGGATGTTGAGATTGACAATGGAGCATGCACACCTACCTATTTGTATAATGCCTAAGCGTTTAGGGAAATAATCTGCAGTCAGGAAATCCGACTCCAAAACCGTACGCCATATAAATGAGGAAGCTTTACGCTATGTGCGAATGTTGGGTATATGCACAACATTATCTATAGTTTTACGGTGACATCACCAGTCGACGTTCAGTATTCAATTTCGATTGTAATATTAGATATTTTTAAATGCGAGATATAATCCTACACATTCTTTACTTGTACAACCATGACGAGAGCGACAGTACCAGAGTTAACGTAATAACAATATTAAGTAGAAAATCTGGACGCGTACCATGATTATGTAGTGGCAGTGTTTTTTTAACACCAAGTAACCGGACGAACTCCAGATTTTCAGAGAGCGGTGGAAAGAAACATGTTGGGCTTAAAAATGAAACACAGAATAACTGGTGCAAGTATTCGAAGACAAACGAAGATAATAGATGCGGCAAAAATGGCTTGTCATATGAAATGGCGATGGGCTGGACATTTAGCTAAGTCTACCGACAGGAGATGATAGGTACCCACGACTGAACCATAGGCCGCGAGGGCACGGCTGCGCCGACGCTGGAGGGACAATATCACACAGGTGGCGGGGCTAACGTGGACACGACTGGTGGAGGAGATTAATATAATTAAGTCCAGAGATGGGCTTTCCAATAAATTTTAAATCGCATATTTAAATTTGAAACTGTAATTATACTAATTTCATTTTAATTTTGCATGTTTTGTATAAATGGAATTTTGGTTTTGAAATATTTTTTTTTTGGAAGAAAGGATTATTATTATTATTATTGTTGTTGTTGTTATTGTTATTGTCATTGTTATTGTCATTGTCATTAATATTATTATTGTGATTTTTAACGGAACGAAGATGTCGTGCGCGTGGAATTAAGCCACACGCCTGTCCATAGCAATTGTAGTGCCACTCAGAGCTTTAAATCGCAAAGATCTCAGAGACACTGCGGCTGCGACTGCGCCCGTCACCCTCAGACATAAGTTGAAAAGTCTCATATGCCAGCACCCTTCAAAACCGAAATGTAAGCATTTACATTACAGAAATAGGAAAAGTGGCAGTATTTCCCAGCGAACTCTTTCACAAGAAGCTCTACTGCTACTAAATGTTGGCAATTGTATGACGAATTGTACAATGTACACTCACAAGAAAACGTAAAATTTTGTACATAAATGTAATATAGGTAAAGCTCACATTTCTTAATACCTTTGCACTTATAGAAAATCGCTCAGTAAAATTTAAATTGTTGATATATTCATATATGTATATATGGGTGCTCTTTTGCCCAATATTTTACACGGTACGCGTTGTAACTTCTTCAGGACTGTTGACTAAACGTTAAGCGTACAGTAAACTTCAAATCTCCAAATGAAACGTTTTCTATGTTACTAAAAACCATTCCACTTGAAACCAAACCTGATTATATAACAGATTCCTTGTAAATATCACGTTACTCAAGGCTTCAGTACAATTGTTTTTGAACGAGAAAAGTTGGAATAACTTTTAGTATTTTGTTCGGGAAAGAAAAAACGTGATGTCGAGTGATTTAATTTTTTTTTGTTTTTTGTTACCAATCCAATTTCAAAGGTCAAATTGAAATGAAGTAGTAAGATTTCCTGTTTTTTTTTTGTTTATGATGCCAAGTGACTTGAGGGGGCACTGCTATTACGCCCGTCATCCTGAGACATAAGTTGGCAAGTCCCAGGTGCCTGTAATTTCACCAGCACCCTGAGCGCATCAAAGCTTACCGCTTGGCGGCAGAAATAGATACGGTGGCAGTGCTTCTCTGGACGAATTCTTTCACAAGGAGCTCTACTACTCAATTCGTTTCATGTAGTTCATATTATTTTTATGACTTTAATGCATCGAGTATATAACCAGAAATAAAGACGAAATAAGTGTCATACGTTCCTGGTAACTCATCAGTGATACATCACTTATAAATATCAACTCTCGTTTGCACTGAAACATAGACAGCGCCAGTAACTGACCTGTGTGTACGTCTCCGTATATTCCAAATATATTCTGTATTTATTGTAATAAAGATAATATCTGTAGCAATGGCATGCTGTTCCATTCGGTGGTGTTGGGAAAACAGCAAAACATCTAATTACAAAACAAACAGAATCAAATTTCTTCGCAATTAAATTATAAATATGTAATTTTGCAAGTTTCGTTCATTATAGCAAAGCTCAAATTAACTTGTCGATTTCAATTGAAACAATTGACGACACCTATTAACGACACCCGTCAATTGTTTCGAACTCGGGCTGGCCAAACGGAGCGCAGTTGTCACAGTAATGATATGGCAGAATAGTTTTGAAACAAATTACATAACATTTCGTCTCTATTTCTGGTTATATACTCGATGCTTTCATGTGATAAAAACAATTTTGATGTCCGATCACTTGGGGGACTGTACCTTGACTTGGAATTTGAGCTGGTTGTAGAGTTCTGAGTAGGTTGTGGGACAGCGCCTTGCGCGCATTTTTTTTACACGGACAATGGCCGCGTCGAGCTGTTACTGTCGGTCTTGGGACACGCGCTCTTCGCTCTATATCTGGAAACATTTACAAATTAACAAAGGAATTACAAAATACATCGACTGCTGTAGGTAATGAAAGGTAGAGGCTAGCTCTACTGGTACTATCTTTTATATTCGTAATGTTAACGTAATGGCAGACAACCAGCTTTGATCTTTGTTCATTGCTGGGACAGAGAGTTGGGTAAGAGCGACCTTTTTATTTTGACTTTTCGCATACCATACTACAAAAGCTGATATTCCTGTATCTATAATATACGGCTGGTACCATGTACGTTTCTTTTTATGATATCTATGTTGTCAGTTACGAAAACATTTTTTTTAACCGACTTCAAAAAAAAGGAGGAGGTTCTCAATTAGACTGTCTTTTTTTTGTAAATATGTTACGCGATAACTCCGGTATTTGTGAACCGATTTTCATGATTCTTTTTTTGTTGGAAAGAGAATACCTCCATAGAGGTCCCATTTAATTTTGAAGAAAATCATCCACCTCTAAGAGTGGCTGTTATGCATGAAGATTCATTTTTATAAATAGCGCCTAAATTTTATTCTTTACTCTCATTTATTTGCATACCATAACATAATGTAGGTACGTTAAATTATGGACCCTGAATAGGGCACAGCAAATAGTAGAAGAGAGGAGTGGTCCTAATTGTTACTTTTATTTAATATGTAGTTAATTAAATATCTATCGACAGTTTTATATAATTTAATGTTTTTGTAATATGTAATTTTTCTATTGTAACTAACAACTAAACTTAAACAAGTATGTTTACAACTAGTTACCAAAACTCAGGTACCAAGAATTTCATCTTCTAAAAAATCTTTTACATTATAATAGCTTTTATTTATTAGTAATTTCTTTAAGTTTTAAAAAAAATATTTGTTATTTGGCTCATTCTTTAAACTTTCCGGAAGTTTGTTATATATTTTTATTGACATGGTGTATGGACTAGAGAAATGCTTATTTATCTAGAATATGGTATTACCAATCTGTTTCTATTTCGAAGTGCATATTTAGTTGGGATGTCGTAACGATTTTGATATAAGTCTAGATGGTTTCGCACAAATTTACAATTTTCTAGTATATAGAGACAAGGGAGAGTCAGGACTTTATGTTTGATAAAATAGGGCTTACAACTATCTGTTTGGGCTATATTTGTGAGAATTGTAACTAATTTCTTTTGTATAGCGAAAATACTAGGCGTATCCATAAATATAGGACAACAGCACGTTGCCCCATAGAATTATGGCATAGTTTAACCAAGCGTATGCGTAGCCATAGTAGGTAGATAAAGCAGTTTTAAAGTCTGTTGTTTTTTAATTCCCTTAAGGCATATAGAAATTTAGACAATTTAGCTTTCAGTTTTTAACCGACTTCAAAAAAGGAGGAGGTTCTCAATTCGACTGTATGTTCTTATTTTTTTTGTATGTATGTTACGCGATAACTCCGGTGTTTGTGAACCGATTTTCATGATTCTTTTTTTGTTGGAAAGGGGGTACTTCCATAGTGGTCCCATTTAATTTTGAAGAAAATCATCCACCTTTAAGGGTGGCTGTTCACGCATGAAGATTCATTTTTATAAATAGCGCCTAATTTTAATTTAGGAGCAATTATTTTAATGGTTGATTTTGCTATTTCTCCAATTCAAGGCGTTTTTATCTCAATATACTTTGAGTAATGAGAACCGATTATTATTATCTCCCGTGTCAAGTTCTGTATAGTGGCGAACTAAGGGATATTTCAATAAAACTTGGCAAATGGACGTAATTATATGTACTTTTGAGATCGGTTTTTTTAGTACTCTGTACTGAGATTATTCTACATGTTTTTTCCAATTTAAATGTTTATCTATGTCAACTCCTAATAATGTACAAACATCAACTGGTATTATTTCTGTATCCAGGTATTTTAAGGCAATATCTAGAGGAATCTTTTGATGTGGGTGAAAGCTTATGATTTTAGTTTTTCATTTTTCAATCATGATAATTAGATTTATTGGATATATTTTCTGGAGTTATTTCCTTGTCAATCGCATTCTCTGTGCGTGAAATTAGACACATACAAATATTTGCCCACTAGATTAATGTTGTCGCTTATGTCGAAGGTTAGAAATTACATGCCAGTCTGTACAGTGTATTTGTTCTGCACAAGAAATCGAGTGATTTTTATTCTAAACGTATTTACAGTCTTGAAAAATTATATGTCTTCAATTCTGGTGTTTTTTTGTCAACAGGTTAATGCATCCGTTGCGCGTGAATCGACCGCGTAAAAACTGCGCCGCCTAGCCGCCTTTCGAAACGTAAGTCATGCGATTGTCTATTAGCTTTTTTGAATGATAAAAAAATTACCGAAAAATCAAATCAACTTCGATACAACAAATTTTTTTCCAAAAAAAAAACCCACTATATAAACATCCTTTACTTATTTAACTTTGTTCGTTCAAGTTTATGCTTTCAAGTGTTTTTCTTTACGAATAGTGTAGAAACAGGATGGGATTATTGTACAACTTAAAAATTCAAAGATAATAATAATTACCTTCGAATTTTTAAGTAATAACTTATTTACAACTAAATAACAAAAATAGAAAGTCACCTCATGATAATAAACCTGTAATTAATGATAATCATTAAGCAATTACCCCTATCTATATAGGGGTATAGAGGTGGCTGGTAGCTGGGCCAAAGAAATATAACACTAGTTTTTAATTGGTTTTTGTCATTGACTCGACAAAAAAGCTATTTATTACCTATTTCAGAAACTCTTCTTCAAATAGTACCTACACAATAGACCAACTCAGTGACATACACAGTACATTTATTTACGCCAAGCTTCTATGTTGATACTTTCTGTAGACATATATGTTTTTATCTTTACAAAATCAAGTGACAGGACGAACAAGTCGTCCGGACGGACGACTCGTTCGCCGGACGGTGATGAGCGAAACCTACTCATAACAATTGTAATGCCACTCAAAACTTTAAAACGCAAAAATCTGACGGACGCTGCCACTACGCCCATCTGCAATTCCATCAGCAACCGCCCTTGCATCTCTTAATTGTCTATCCTGAGTTTAATGCCACTTAACAGTAAGACCGTTTAGCTTGGTTTAATGGATTTTTATGAAAGCCTAATTTTCGTGGCAATTGTGATTATTAAATATACCTATATATAGTACCTAGATAGTACCTATTTGAGTTATTATCAAGAATTATTGTTTGTTTTATTATTTCACGATAATATACTCGAATGCGTGAATAATAAGAATTACCACGGGAATTAATTAGGCAGAGAACACTAACCCGAGAAAGATCCTTGTACCCTAACATACATTCCTTTTTGTGTTGTCATTGTATTTTTTAATGTGCAATAAAGTTTATTTCGTTTCATTTACATACGACTTTATTACTTAGTGTTACGTGTCATCCCCTACTATGTTATTTAACGTAACTTATTTTTTGACGACGAAAAATGAATGATTCACACCATAATCCGAATTTCAAATTACGTCGGTTCGTGCTAAAGAAGGTGAACGCTAAAACTCTCGTATATTCCCGATACTACACCAGCTCTTTTCTTCCGCTAAATAACCTTTACTAATTTACCAAGCATTGTAAATGTATTAGTTAATCGAAAGGATACGGTTAAATTCTTTATGAAGAACCGTCACGAATGCTTTTACGAACAAATGTAGCACCTTTCAACACACTTATTATAGGTACTTCATATGTACGTACGATGGTTTAAGTAACAGTGTTATACGGGCTTGGATAAATTCCATGCTGTTCAGATTTATGCGGTTTTTGATTTTGCTGTGTTATTTAAAAGTCAGTAGCTCAGGGGGAGAATTGTTCGAATCCCTGTCCAGTTACATACGTTTGTGAATGTTTAGTAGCAATATCTCTCGGAAAAATATCGTGGTGAAACCGAGTGAAATCCCCAACCCCCATAGGGCCAGCATATCGTACTATAATTTTAACCCTATGTATACCCATTTAATGGGTATACATACGGATTGATTAAAGTTGGAGTTTTTTTTATAATACTAAGTGACGGCATGAACAAATCCTGTGCCTGGTGGTAACAGTTCCTCAGAGCTTTAAATCGCAAAAATCTGAAAAGCACTGTTAGCGCCCAGTTACAAGAGGCGAAAGTTTTCGCACGGTCGCCGCGCGTTACCACGCTTTCACGTAAATTAATGGCGAATCTGAATTCTATTTACTAGGTAACAATATTTAAATTCCTCTGAATAATACAACTGCGCGGTCGCCGCGTAGACCAAAGACAAGCCAGTCTCGCCCGTGCGCCCGTACTCTCATTTAAGTTAGAACGTAAAAACTAAATGAATAGAGGGTACTTTGCCGTGACAGTTAGATGCAAGCATTTCCGCGCATTCCTAATAGTGTCTGTCCTATAGAACCACCTTCTGGTGGAAATGTCCAATAGCGTCCGCAGTCCAGGTATGTCCACCTGGGCGTTGTCAAATCCGCTACTTCGCTAATACAACAGGTGACATAGTCAAAACCATCAGCGGCTAACTACTAAATTTCCTTATAAAACTGACAGTATTCAATCGGCAAGCGACGACTGAACATCGAGAAGAAAGAAAATCAGTGCTGGGAACGCATTGCGTTTTCCAGCAAATACTGAGTTAATGACCCTTTTGTTACCGCAGCTGGCACCACACAAAGTATCTTTACACGCAGTGTCTTATATTTAATTAAATAACCTGTGGTGTAATTTAGTTTTCGTTTTGTTTGTGATTTTGTTCCGTAATTATTTATTTGTGCCTCAAGTATGAATCTGTCTTAATTTTTTTTATTATGTTTTTCTTATTTTAAATTGTTTTCACTGTGTCGTTTATTTCTTTTTAAATTTAATTTTGATTGTTTATTTTTTCTGTGTTCTTTCTTTTTTTTTGTGTGGTGCCATTTGCACACCAGTGCAAATAAATGAATGTTTCTTTCTTTCTTTCTACAAGCAAACAAGATTGAAACAAGATTATTTATATTGCCAATTGCTAAGTGAATTGTCATTTTTATAGTGAACATGTGATTATTACTACGTGCCAAGTCATTAGTCTGTCAGTTTTTGTGCCTAAAGTTAGTTTTTATGCTGCACTTTGTCCGCCGAATAAATTGTCTGAACATAAATAATTTAATAAGTGTTTGCCAGCAGTGCCGTATAATTCTTAACTAATGTATTGTTATTTAACGATAATATAGTCCATTTCACATATGATGATTCCTGTGACATTTCCAATTTTTACGTTCCACGCACAGTATTTTTAACTAATCTCACAACCCGGCAACGAAAAGAAATAGTAAATTTGTCATAATGTACCAACAACAAACAATATTTGTTGCAGTTATAATTTTAAATAAATTTGCAATATATTAAGCAGAAAGGAAATAAAATGATAAAGATAAAAATAAATTACCCCAATTACTTGATGCGTAAAACGGAATATTTTATCCATAGATTTAAACCATAAAATCGATAAATCGAATCGGCTATTGAGTATCTCGCGTTAATACAAGTGCCTACACCTTGTATGTGGGTCGTTTTCTTTTGATGAGCTTTACGTGATGTTTTTGGAGTAATTGTTCAAATTCCGTTTCGTTGCAGTTGATTTTATGCTCTGTTGTTGATTTTTTTGTTTGATTGTTGTTGATTTCTTTATTTGTTGTAAAGTTTTTTGGTAGTTAATATATGACAATTGAATACTTTGTTTATTATTTGTTCTTAAATTATTTTCTGTAAATCGATTTTCTCTTCGTTACAAATTATCTCGATAAGATATTTAAATCGATTTTTTCATTCGATTTTATATCACCACATCTCCAGAAATTTGAAATCTCAAACGTCACCGGAATCATGCTATATTATATTAACTTTAAGTACCTTATTTCAAACTCTGGTATTTTGCAAGGGTATTAGGTTAAACATTTTTATTGCTTCCCTAACATCACTTGAATATGCTAAAAATAAATCTGAAATTAGCTTTTCAATATCCGATGGGACGGCTCTCCGTCCCTTTTTTATCACCACGATTATGTGTACGTAGAACGTATTACCGTTTCTTTCTACTTATGATATCTGATTTAGGACTTTTTAACGCTAACGAAAAGAGAATTTACAATACCTGGGGGCCTAAAAACGATCTTATTTCAATGTAAGCTTATAATAAAATTACTTGTAGTCGTACCATGACAAACCTGTCAACCAAGTAATTTCTTAATAATAATAATCAAGTCAAGTTTTGTGTAGATATGGCTAATCCGTGGCGAATCCGCCGGAAAATTAAATAAAACAAATTGAACCTTGTCACATTATATCATATTTTTTCAAAACGTCATGGGTGCTAGCGCGGAAAGTCACGAAATAAACAGAGAAATTATTTCCTGTGTAATATTAAATAAATAAAATACCGAATAGATTTATGTATACGTAAACAATTATTTGAATTTTTTTTGTGAAATAACTCCACTAGTTATGATTATTAATTCAAAGATCGAACACATAGAAAAATTCCTTCGAAACGATGAGTCTTGAACCCGCGACCATGCTGCACCGTAGCATTATTGCTCTTACCAACTTTTTTTTATAATATCAAGTGATCGGACGAACTAGTCGTACGCCTGGTGGTAAGCTACACGCCTGTCCATAACAATTGCAGTGTTACTCCAGAGTTTTAAATCGCAAAGATCTGAGGCGCACTGCCCCTGCGCCCGTCATCCTGTGACATAAGTTGACAAATCCCATGTGCCTGTAGTTTCACCAGCACTCTTACGCTTCAAAATCGAACACAGTGAGGCTGACATTACTACTTGACGGCAGAAATAGATAAGGTGGCAGTACTTCCCTGGATGAACTCTGACAAAAGGAGCTATAATGCTACTGGGTCAAGTTACAGAGTTGTCGAAAATCTCCTATGTAGTTTTTGTTATAGATCTTTGTACCAAGTTTCGGCATTCGTCGCCGCGAGATTTAAGTACATAAATAAGTTAAAGGTAAATAACTGAAAATGATTTTGTTTCCGCTGCGTACAAATAGTAAGTACATTTTAAGAATGCTAAATTTGACTTTAGAACAATATTACTGCAATTTCAAAGTCGCGTCATAGTACGAATTCAGAGAATGAATAGTCACAAAGCTGCCTATAAAACATCATAGTTTTAGCTTTATAAATAAGTCTACTTTAAGCGTTCATGTTACTAAAAGCAATATAAGGTTAAAGTAATATTGTTATAACGAAGTTGTGGTAAGACCCCAGGCCGTAAATATTACAACATCTAGTTT